CCAGCTTTTGGGTATTTAGCCCCTTTGAGAAGCCTCCTTATTTCTTCCAGGATTGCAGCAGTTGGCTGTGACTATCCCCTTGTCCTAGGCATTGGTACCAGCCCATTTGCAAACCCAGTCCTGTCTGGGGGGCTGTGGGTGCCGAGGCCCTGGAGCAGGATGGGAGCAGCACCTTGTGTTCCTGGCTGTGGGGCTGGCAGCGCCGCAGGTGCCAACACCAGCAGCGGGGTGTGAGGGGGCTGAATCTCCCTGGGTTTGCTGGACAGGGAGGAGGCAAGGGCCAGCCTGCCCTGCCCTGCCTTTCTGGAGCTGTCCTGCCCAGGGCAGGCTGGGCACTGGGAACCTGGCTGACTCCCCAGCACCTTTGCTGTAAAGAGAGGAAGGGGGGTTGACAAAAAAAAACACTAAGCCTTTGCTACATCTCTTAAAAATAAGTTTTCTTTGTAATGATTCTTTATGGCTTTATGCCTTGTGGCTGGATCAGGGCTTGTATGACAAAGCAATCTGCTCTGCTGCCTGTATTTAGCGTGCTGCTGCTGGACCTTGTGTGGCCATGGGCTTGTGGACGCCTCGCAGACACCCTTGGCTCCCTGGCACGATGGGTGAATTATCACCTCTCTTTGACATCGTGGTCTGTAACGTGGCCTCAGTCACCTCCCAGTGCTTTGGTAATCTGGTGGTGATGATGCTGTAACCTAGGTAATTAGGAACCCGTTGCCCTGGAGCCATAGGTCTAGAGGACTTTGAACCTTTGGACAAATAGTGCAAATGAATGTCAGTGGGGTTTTGGAAAATGGTTATTGACGTTCAGCCTATTTCAGCTCTTAAAGGATACAGAGGCATTTTTATAAAGCGAAGGGCTTTCACCTGCCTTGTGTTGTGACTTGTATAGCCCTGCTGAAGTGAGAATTAAATTATTTCTTCTCTTGGTGGGAATTGCTTTTTCCCTAATAAGGTGGGCATGGAAGGCAGAAAAAATTCAGGCTTTTGTGAAACTCTAAAGAGCTAGCAGAGGCTTTGGTATGCAGCTCCAGGTACTGATATCAAGCTCCTCAGCCTTTAGGGGAAATTCCCCTTTTTGGGGCATTTTTGCCACTGCTTTCCTCCACTTGCTAGCACTCACAATCCTTGGGCTGGTCCAATTCAAAACTCAGAAATGCTCCCATGTATTTTTTGGGGGTGCAGACGCAGCTCAGAGCAGCGCTGTGGCTTGCAGTGTGCAGGGTGGTTGTGTGATGCTGCAGAGTCCCTGGAAAGGTGTTTTATTCTGTGGTGACAACTGAGGTCAGCCGGGTGGGACGATGGGTGTGTTCTCTGCGAGGAGAGCCACAGCGCAGGTCCAGAAAATCCACTGGTGTCTTGGAGCCCACAGCAGCTGTGGACAAGCCCTCCCATGCACACCTCCGTTTCACCTCTTGGTAGCGTGCTGGAGAAGCCTGATGCCCGCAAGGCCTGCAGGCGCAGCCGGTTTACATCCCCCTCCCACCAAAAACCTCATCCAAGGACAATTTCTGGGCATGAAAAATACATGTTTAAGGAAACCTGGGGGGATGGCGGTCCTGCTCAGCTTGCTTTGTAAATAAACATCGGGGGTGTGTAACGTGATAGCACGTACGCTTGGCTCCAGCTGGGCTGTTCCTCTATAGTGTGTTGTTTTGGTATGTGCTCTGGATCAGAAATCTGTAGGTTTGTTTTTGTACCAGCAACTCGACCGCTGAACTGCTTAACCTTCTCCACAGTCAGCGCCTCAGAAAAGCCAAACGCGAGCAACTCAGACTGTATGAAAACACGAGCTGCAGACTGGCCTGAAAGCCAAAAGAAAGCTGTAATTTACTGGAAGGGAAGGTCCTCTTTAAATTTACAGACAAGAGCATATATAGAAATCTAACAAAAGCATGTAATGATTGTCTGGCAGGGACCAGGGGCTGCTGCTGCGGGAAGTGATGATGTGGATCAGACATCGCATGTTAAACACAGTTTGTTTTGGTCAGATCATGATCTCACATCCTTGCTGAGGAGCATCTCTTCCGCTTTCTGTTGCCTGCCTTACACCCTCTTTAGTCAACAGCAGTGAAGTTGTGGACAGAGGAGTTAGCATCACTGGGCACAACGTACTGCATTGACATGCCTGCAGCCGCTCATTCCTACGTTAAACACCTGACTTCTACCTGAGCATGCTTTGGGACTATATCTTAAATATATGGGTTTTAGTGGAGTGTTAACTCTTGAAGGCCAAATATTTAGCAGTGCGAAGTAGCACTGTAAAAAGCATCTTGCTCAACTGAAATTAAAGAGGGGGTTGAATCTCTAGGGCTGGAAATAGCGACTTGGCTAGAAAGGGGATGCTTATGCTTGGGCAGGATCTGTCACGTAGCTGAGGAACACGCTGGCTTTTGACTCTTTCCTGTTTATTTTCTATTTGAGCAGCTGAATGCGTACATTAATGGCAGCAAAGTGCTGATCACCGCTGTGTCCTGAGCGAAGCGGGGCTGGGCTGCCTCTCTGCAGGCAGGCAAGGGCAGCTGGGGGCACCCAGGGGGACTGGCTGGAGATAGCACAGTCCCCAAGAGCCTGTGCAGAAATGAGGTGATGCTCCACTACAGGGTTTGCTGTGTATGGCAGAGGAGCAAGATGGAGTGTGCTGGTGTGTGTGTGTAAAATGCCTTGTGAGAAATTGGATAAAATAGCCGCTGTTGGCAGCTTGTTTGAGCGGAGTCCCGCTGGCAGTGTGCGCTGTACGTGCCAGGGTTGGCAGGGACACCTTTAGGTAAGCTATAGAAATTCAGAACGCTGTGTGAGCACCAAGATTTGTGCCACAAGTGGCAATTAAGTTTACACTCTAAAATTTTTATGGAGATCACATCAAGCTCTGAGGCAGAGCTTGCGAGTTGATTCCCTGAAGATAATATATAATTAAACGACCAGGCTCATGAAAGCAGAGCTGATGCAGGAGTGCAGGAGCTGGCAGACCTGCCCCAGCAGGGACTATTGGCACAGACTTGGGCAGAAGGCTGTGTAGTGCATGGTGGCTCGGGGCCATGCTCCTTCCCTCTGCTTCAGCTCTGCCTCTGACTAACCAGCTCTGCCTTTTGGAGTGGATTCCTCTTTCTTATTTTGCTTTCCCTCCCCCCTTTCCAGACCAGTTTCCTCAGCTACCTGTGCTTCAAGCCTTCTCCCCTGCCAGCCTCCTGACTTTCCTCCTCTAGTTGCATTTTTCCCCTTAGGCCTTTTTTCCGCTCTTTTTTTCTCCAGCCTTGCCTTTTCTGCTATGTGTTTCCACCCTGGTGTTTCATTTCTCCCTGCTCTGCCCTCCATCAGCGCTCGCCTCCTCCATCCTGAGTAAACTGGTGCTGGCTTCTTCCTCCAACTGTCCAAAATCCCCAGCCAAACAGAGGTCAGGGGATTCCTGAATGAAATTCCTCGGGTATCAGTTTTGTGGAATAGTCTCCTGCTTATTCAGTGTATCTGATTCTTCTGTGCTTCCAAGCTTTGTTTTCTGCTTTTTGAAATGAGCCAAAACAGGAGTGAAAGGAAGATGCTGTGGGGGGCACTCATGAGATCCAGCGCTGCTGTGGCCTGGCAGGCCTCCTCGGAGCCTCATTTGCTGCCTGGAAAATCTTTGCTTTTATTCCTGCTTATTATTATCGTGTCTCGATCAAGATTATTCATGCAGAGGAATGGTTCTTGCTGTGAAAAGGTCACCCGTAAAAAAAGCAAATAGCTGTTATACAGGTGATGAGAGAAGTCACAGAATCACAGAATGGCAGGGGTTGGAAGGGACCTCAGGAGATCATCCAGTCCAACTCCCCTGCTAAAGCAGGTTCACCTAGAGCAGGTTGCCCAGGACATCGTCCAGGAGGGCTTTGAATATCTCCAGAGAAGGAGACTCCACAACCCCCCTGGGCAGCCTGTTCCAGTGCTCTGTCACCCTCAAAGTAGAGAAGTTTTTCTTCATATGCAACTGAAACTTCTTATGTTTCAGCTTGTGCCTGTTGCCCCTTGTGTAGGTTAGTTTGCACAGGTCCTGTCTCCGCTTAGCGGGAGAAGCCTTGTGTTGCAGATAAGGAGGGACTTCTGAGGCTGGGTTTCCCTGGATGTGTTCCCTGGGTTTCACAGGCAGCTCCCATGCAGGCAGGTTAAGGTATTATGGATGCAAATCACTAACAGGCAGGTATGTTGGTCTCCAAGCTAATTGCCGGAAGCAAAGTTGCTTGAGGTGGGTCACAAGCAGCTGATGATTTCGTCAGCTTGTTGGGACCCAGTGACTGCTGCCTCCCAGCTTGTGTGGGCTTCCTTTGGTTGCTGGAAGCCAGCCTGACACAGGCCTGGGGGCAAGATGGGACTTGCTGTGGCAGAACTGGGGAATGGGTGATGCTCTCAGCACTTCCCAGCAATGAGTAAGTCCTCCTGGAAGCGGCTGGCAGGAAACTCTGCCTTTCTCCTGGAGGAAAAAATTATCTCTGTCCCCCCGGGGTGCCCTCTCCCTTGCCACCAGCTGTGGCTGTAGTGGGTACTGAATGTGTTCAAAGCGAGATGCTGCAATACACGAGGTCTAACAGGTTCTGGTGCTCTCCCAGCTCCCTGCTCAGGAGGCTGTCCTGGCTCCCTGTGGCCACCCTGCACAGCCCCCCTCTGGCAGCCCTGGATGCTTCCCTTCCCGCACCCGCGTTGTCCTGCCTGCCCTTACCGGTGTGCCCTACAAAAGGGGCTTTTGTGGAGGTGTGCTCAAGGGAGGTAGTTAATTTTTAGCTTGCTGTTTTCTGAGCCAGGAGTAAGACAGGGACTGTGCTAGACCAGAGCTGTTTTGCTATTGCTTAACTAGTGCTGCCTGGCTCTGGGCCACTTAAAACAAAAGGCCAGACCCCAGAAAAGAGCAGAGCATCCCTACAGTCGCTGGATAAACAAAACCGGGCCCTTTCTCCATGCAGCTCAGACACCACCCCGGCCTGGGGTTTCAGAGCTGGAAAAACCTCCCCCAAGTTGGTAGGTGGGGGCTTTTGTTTCTCCACTTGGGGATGTGGAGCGGAACTGGGGGGCCCCTGTGTCATCTGGCAGAGGGAGAAGCGGTGAGGGAGAAGCTTTCATCCTCTCTGCCGCAACCCATGGCCACTGCATCCGCTTCTCGGGTGGGGGAAATTAAGGCACCAATGCCCCAAGGACGGAGCTCTGGCCAGGCACTGTCCTGGGTTGTGCTGCCTGGGCAGTCTGCCCTGGCACACCTAAATGGAGGGGAAGGTACTAGCTGGGTTTGGCAGCAGCAAGGTATGCACCACACTTCTTCCCTGAAAGGCCTGTTCATTTACAGGCATGAATGCAGTCTGAGAGTTCATGACTAACTAGAAAATGAGATTAAGTTAACCAGGTATGCATTAGGACACCAGTGAGATTAAATCTCTGCATTTTTAATGACAGCAGTAAAATACTTATACCTCATGGTACAAAAGCCTCACCTCCTGTTAGCCCCAGTTTCTCTCCTGCTCAAAGAGCGCACTGTCAGGGACAAAGTGACTAGTGCACAACTTCACCTCGGGGCCTTATCCAGGGCTCTGTAAAGGGGAAAGCTAGGGGGCCCCTTCCCAGGGGTGCTGGGCTCAGGAGGCAGAGATGTGCAAGGCTCTGTCATCAACTTGCTATGTCAGGCTGTTTTCAAAACAGATATTCTGCTTCTCAGAGTTTGCAGAAGGCTTCCAATAGCCATGAGGACCATGGAAAGGATTTTTAAGTGCTCAGAGATGTAGGACGTGCAAGGGCACAGGTCAAAAGCTAACCTCTTCAAGGGGAGATGAAGACCTGAGGCTGTAAATGGCTTGGTGTGGGACAGCTGGGTGACAACTCAAGTGCCTAGAGCAGCTACTGTGATGTGCTTTTACAGATGAGAAGAAAGCAGGGGGGGAAAAAAAGGTATTTTATTTGTTTTCTTTCTCTTTGATCTTCCACTCTTGCTAACCAATCCCTTGATGTGAGCTGTATCAGAAAGGGAATGGTGATGCTGCATGTTTCTTACCCTTTCTGCATGTAGAATCTGTATTTCCAGAGCCTGCCACAGGTCTGGCCCTTAGCAAAGGCTGGTGACCAGTCAGCATGCCAGGCACAAGGGGCAGGTTTTGCTCAAGGTATGTGGCATGGCGTGCTCTTTTTACCTCTCCTTCTTCCAGCAAACCATAAAGGAATTAGCTTGTGGTGCAGGTAGCAAAGTGCTGGTACAATTCAATTCAGTTCATATACAAGGACCTATTTGTAGCTGCTCATGTTTTCCTAACGCAGCTGGATATTCAGTGTTTGTGTGCTTGAGTTTTACTTGGGTTGTTCTTGGCTTGTCATGGTGTGCTGTCATTAAAGACCCCAAGGAAGACCAAGCTTGCACTGGAGAGGTGTTCTGTGGTTGGTGTGAACATCTGCCTCTTCCTTTAAAGAGAATAAAGCACTGCTCAGCCTGGAGCCTGCTCTCTTTAGGGTGAGCAACAGAGAGCTTTAATCCTCTTTCCTTCAGGAATTGACACACTTACCTTGCTGATGTGACAGACAAAACATGATTCATAAGCCACCGGCCTGGCACTGGAAGGCTGCTGGAAAATCCCAGTTTAAAAGCTTTACATGTTACTGAAACAAAGCAGTGTCACACCCCTGGAGTTGCTCTGAATTGCTGTGTATTTCTTTGTGTTTGAAAGGGGCAATTTGGACCTCAGCTCTTCCTGATGGTCAGGTTGTTTCTCCAAAGCCTGCAGGCGTGCCAAGTGTTTGGTGTGAGAGATGTGTACCTGCAAAAGGCTTCGAGTAAACAGAGCCTGCAGATGGGGGTCAGGAGCAGGCAGAGCTCCTCATGTGCCATGCACGAGGCAGAACCCTTACACTGGCAAATGCACGCAATGGTTGGCTTAAACCACCTCCCCACAAGTTGGCTGGCTCTGAGATTTGCCTGACGAATTTTCTTGTGCCTTTCCCTGTTTGTTTTTCCTTAAGAAACCTCCAAGCCTTTTTGTACACCCTGACAGGCCACAGGGAGATGTGGTTGTGACCCTGTGACAATCCCAGTGATCCCAGCCAGTGTCAGATCAATGCTACATCCACGCTGTTCCTGGCACCCCTGCCCTCCTCGGACCTGCTTGCCTGTGTTACCCCACTGGCCAGGCAAGGCCCACCCAGGCCACCATGGCCCTGGGTGTTGCAGATGCATCCTCTGCCGTCAGCACCCTGCTTGAGTCAGCACGAAACACAGCAGGACCTTGAAGCCCTGCCAAGTAATGGGGCTGGTTTAGGATTTGGTGCCTCATGCGTGTGGCTAAGGAAGGAAGTGACTTATGTGCTTGTGATTGGATTTTCCTCGCAGGTTTGTGCTGACAGGCAGGAGTGAAACGCGTCTGATGCCTCGGGCTGCGCGCAGCTCGCTGGCACTTGCCTAGCCGTAGGGGGCCAGAATTGGGGTGGGCAGGAGGGCAGCTGCTGGCAGCAGCACTCCTGATGGCGTTTCAGGAGGGTAG